TAATGTTATCTTTTTTTATGTTGTTGCTAAGAAGAGGTATGGCTTATAAATAACTATCAGACAAATCGCTGATAAAACTAAAACTAGCTAGAAGTCTACACAAATGGTATACAGTGGGACAGTCATGCTGCTATACTGCTGACTCTGTTTGGCCTGCATGGGCTCAGTTTTGCCTGTAGGTCTTCCCAAATTGTTGTGCACCAAGAGCTGCATTTCTTTTCTTTCAGTACTATTGCTGAGTGGGGCTAACGTCCAACAAGCCTATTTGATGTTAGCTCCAAGTTGTAGATGAATATCCTGTGTGTGTATAGTGTTTCCTATATGCATGTTGGTACATGAACTTGGTCTTTTTAGGTCTATATCCTGTCAGTCCAGAGAATGTGCTGACTCCAAAAAAAGCTGACACCTGAAATGTGCTTCCACAAAGTATATTTATCTCTGTACACTAAGTCCAAGTTTCTAAATGACAGTTTCATGAATGTTAGACAATGTTTATAGCTGGAATTGCAACAGCTTTACAGTTGGACTTTTCTTATTATGCGTTAGATTTTCAGGGAGGAGTAAACTTATTTGCTGAAGAACCAGATAATGAATACGTTGGGCTTTGCAGGTCACATATAGTCTCTGTCACATATTCTTCTTCTGTCCTCTAAACAATCATTTGAAAATGTAACAGTAATTCACTGTGGGTGGGATAGGAGAGGTGGAGGGAGAAGGGTAGCTATAAAATTAGGTTGAGGCCAGAGGCCCTCAGCTGTAATTTACCTACCCCTATAGGGCATCATAGTGGGAGATCCTGAAAAAACAATACAAATCAAAACAATGATCCTGCTACACAAACTTTGGGGAATCAGTTTGGAACTGAGTGATTGGTTTCCCATTACTGACTCATTCTTTTGGTAATGGGGAGTTGAATCCATCAAGTCACCACCAATCCTCCTTTGTAGCCACATCATTGTGGAATAAACTTGAGAAGACTGTAAATTTCTCTTCTGGACTGTGTAGTAAGTACTTCATTAGTAAGTGTCATGAATCCTGTGGTAACAATTTGTAAAGTCCTTTGAGGAGAAAGGCAAAATCATAAATATTAATTATAGCCATTGTTTTGATGAAAGGAGGATTACTGGAGGCACAGAAGCCTCTAAATCTACCTAGTAAACCATACTCCAGCTCTTAAGTTCTCGGATGAAGGGGTTAATTATATTAGAAAAAATTCCATGGGATTCTTCTGTGGTCTGAGGTCTAATAAAAGGCTCACTTTTCATATGACATTATTTTAGAAGTGCTTTCCAAAGCTCAGAGTCATTTTCATGAGAAAAAAATTTAATAAAGAAACTTTAAACGATTAGTGCGTTTCATCAGGAATGCAATGCAGTAATAGAGTCAGATTATTGGTGCAAAGCCCCAGACTTTAGTGTTAAAACGAACCCCATCTACAGGGTGACATTTTAAAGGAGGTATAAAACACACTTAAGGCTTTTTGAAATAGTTAGGAAAGAGAAAAAAACTTGAATAAACATATTTTTTCATATTTTATATGTGTTATATGTGTTACCATGGAGAAAATAATTAGAAAGTTACTTCTAAATGAGTGACTTCATTTAGATGAAAATGTTTCTTTTGTGAACTCCTACACTAGCTAAAAAGCCATAAACTCTGCTGACGGAAGGTGTTGATAATTTACTATCCTTATAAATGTCATCTTTTAAAGTGCTGATGCCTGAAAAAGGAAAGGGATGATGTGTCACCATGTTAAAGGAAACTTATTTAGAAAGAAAGGGGCATGGTAAAATTCAAATGAATGAGTGGACGATTAAGTTTTAATTTGTACATAGGCCTATAAAAAGATTAGGACAAAGGTTTGGTTTTTAGTATCGTTCTTCTTATCATAAAAGTAAAAATTATAAAATATAAAAAATTATGTGTAATTCCAACATCCAGAAAAAAGCCATTAAAATTTTATTGTCTCTAGTTATTAAACTATTTTTAACAAAATTAGATAATACAGTGAATATTGTTTTGTAATTAGCTTTTCTCACTTAATATATCAGATCATCTTTGCATACTATCTGTTCATGTAACTTTTATTGAAAGCTATACTTTGGTAAGATCATTTTAATGGCCATAAAATTTTGACCCTACGACTGTACCATAGATTGCTTAGCAATCCTGTTGGATATATAGGTGTATCGATCAGAATGCATTCTGATCTCAAATAAGTTTACCCTCAAAGGTGAATTGGGTGGCTGTTATAATAGCAGAGTAAGAAAAGGGCGGGCCTCTGAGTCATTTGGATGCAGAGCTGGAAGCATCAAGACTGTCTTTCCATTTCTCTGCCTTAAATCTTTCTTCTGTTGTTGTCATCACTCATTCTCCATCACTTCAAATGACTTCATGAATGGAGATGACCATAGGCAGCTCCAAAGTTACAGGGCAATTCCTGGGGGAAGGCTTAGCAATGCCAAAGGAAACAAAGCTCCTTTTTCCAGCTTTATTTGGGAAATCTCCAGAAAAGAAAGGCTCAGAAAGGCTTGCCTTTAGGCAGGTACTCACTCCTGGACCAATTGATAGAGCCTTTGGGAGTTACTCCAATTACCTGGGCCTTGGTTATGGGCCTCCCTGTGGTCAAGGGGAGAGCCAAAGGAGTAGATATAGACCCATCCAAATGCAGGGAAGCCAGTTTTATTTTTCCTTATAGGAAGTGAGGGAGGCCAATCCCAGAAGACTGGAAAATACGGTGCTGTAGAGGTAAATATAAGCCTTGTCCTTTATGTAGGCTGTGACCATTTTATGCAATTAAATTTAGCTTGTAGGTAAATCTTGGAGAAAAGTTTAAAAAGCAGAGGTCAAATTGATGTCAGCAAGATGGTCAACTATCACTCTCCTTCAAAAGATGGATTAAAACAATGAACAAACCACTACATTTCAACCAGAATGACTAAAAGAGAGTGCTGGAGCACAGCAAGGGTGTGGCAGAAACCCTGCTGAGGGCAGAAACTCAAGATGGCTGCATCGAGAAGGGAGCAGAACACTTTGTCTCCGCCACACCATCTCCCTGGTTGGGATCAGCTCAGGACTCCAGCTCCATAGCGACTCTGAGCACTTGTGCCCTGGAACATAGCACTGCTGTGGCTGCCTGTGGCTCGTGTCAGACCCAAGGCCAAGAGGGATCCCCTCAGTCAAGTCTCTCCACTATTGGGGAAAATAAGAATGGGAGGATCCCTAAAGCCCTTACCACCAGGAATTCACAAAATCTGCCTTGCCATCACTGCTGCCACAAAATCCTGCAGCCTAGGCCTCTGAGGCACTCATGGTCATCACTGACGTGGATTACACGTGAGACACTGTCTTTATAAAATCCTAAATTAATTAAAAATTAAAAAGAAGAAAGATACCAAATAGACTAACATTATATCTTGAGAAGCTAGAAAAAGGACACACTAAACTCAGAATGCCTACATTAGAAAAGAAGAAAGATCCCAAATAAATAGTCTGATATTATATTTGAAGAAGCTAGAGAAAAAAACCCCAAACAAACCCAAATTTATCAGAAAAAAATAATAAAGATCAGAACAGAAATACATCAAATAAAGAACAGAAAAACCATAGAAAAAAAATCAATAAAATCAAGAGTTGATTCTTTGAGGAAAAAAAAAAATTGACAAAGCCTTAATTAGACTAAGAAAAAAGAGAGAAGACTCAAATAAATAAAATTAGAAATAAAAATGGAGACATTACAACAGATGCCTCAGAAATAAAAAAAGATCATAAAGCACTATCATGAAAAATTATATGTCAACAATTTGGAGAACCTAGAAGAGATGAATACATTCCTAGAAAAATATAACCTACTAAAATTGACTCAAAAAGAAATAGAAAGCTCAAACAAACCAATAACAAAGATATTAAAGTAATTAAACACCTTCCAACAATGAAAAGCACTGAACCAGATGACTTCAGAGAAGAATTCCACAAAACATTTAAAAAAGAATTATTACCAATACATCTTAAACTCTTAAAAAAAAAAAAAAAAAAAAAGAACTAGAGGGAATACTTCCAAATATATTTCATGAGGCCAGAGACCAGCGTCACCTTGATATCTAAGCCAGACAAAGATACTTCAAGTAAAAGAAAACTACAGGCCAATAACTCTTGAACTTTGATACTAAAATCTTCAATAAAATATTAGCAAACCAGATTCAACACACATCTGGAAGGTTATACATCATGACTAAGTAGGATTTACGTCTGGTGTACAAGTGGCATTTATGCATGGCATACAAATCAATCAATATAATACATCAATTAAAAGAATAAAAGAGAAAAACCACATGAACCTCTCAATTAATGCAGACAAACTATTTGACAAAATTCAGTATTTTCTTGATAAAAACTCTTAACAGTTTAGATATAGAAGGAAAGGTCCTCAAAATAATAGGGACCATTTATGAAAAGCTCACAGCTGAGATCGTAATCAACAGGTACAAATGAAACCTTTTCTAATAAGATCAGTACAGTACAGGGATGCCCCCTTTCACCACTTCTATTCAATGTAGTATTAGAAGTACCAGCAAGGGCAATCAGACAAGAAAAAAAAGGCATCTAAATTCAGAAAGATGAAGCAAAATTATCCCTATTTGCAGATGATATTATCCTATAAGTAGAAGGCCTCAAAGATCCACAAAAAACGTTTAGAACCAAAACAATGAATTTGGTAAGGTTGCAGGATACAAAAATCAGTAGCATTGGTGGGGCATGGTGGCTCACACCTGTCATCTCAGCACTTTGGGAGGCCAAGACAGGGGATCACTTGAGGTCAGGAGTTCGAGACCAGCCTGACCAACAAGGTGAAACCTTGTCTCTACTAAAAATACAAAAATTAGCCAGGCATAGTGGTAGGCACCTGTAGTCCCAGCTACTTGGGAGGCTCAGACAGGAGAATTGCTCTAACCCGGGATGGGGAGATTGCAGTGAGCCAAGATTGCACCAGTACACTGCAGCCTTGGTGATGCAGTGAGACTCCACCTGAAAAAAAAAGAAAAAAATCAGTAGCATTTTTATACACAAGTAATGACCTAACTGAAAAAGTAATTAACAAAATAATCATATTTATAATAGCAGCAAAAAATTAAATATCTAAGAATATGTTTAACCAAGGGAGTGAAAGACTTGTATACTGAAAACTATAAAACAATGATAAAAGAAATGGAAGAAGACATAAATAAATGGAAAATTATCCTGTGTTCATGAATGGGAAAAATTAATTTATTAAAATGTCCTTATTACCTATAGCAATATACAGATTTAACACAATCCTTATCAAAAGTCTAATGGCATTTTTCACAGAAATAGAAAAAAATTATACTAAAATTCACATGGAATCACAACTCTGAATAGTCAAAGAAATGCTGAGAAAGAAAAATAAAGTTGAAGGCATCACAGTTTCTGAACTAAAATTATATTAGAAAGCTATAGTAATCAAAACAGTGTGGTACTGGCATAAAAACAGAAACATAGACCAATGGAACAGAATAGAGATCACAGAAATAAACCCAAGCACATGTGGTCAACTGACTTTTGACAAGAGCATGGAAAGGACATAATGGAGAAAGAGTAATTTCTTCAATAAACAGTGCTGGTAAAACTGGATTTTTTACATCAAAGTATGAAATTGGACACTTATCTTACACCATACACGAAAATAGATTCAAACTGAATAAAAGATCTAAATGTAAGACCTGAAACCATTAAACTCCTGAAAGAAAACATAGGGGAAAAACTCCTGAACATTGGTATTGGCAATGATTTTTTGGATATCACACCAAAAGCTCAGGCAACAATAACAAAAATAAATAAATGGTACTACATCGAACCAAAAATCTTTTGCACAGCAAAGGAAACAATCAATAAAATGAAAAGGCAATCTATGAACTAGGAAAAATATTGCAAACCACATATCTGATAAGGGGTTAATATCAGAAATTTGTAAAGCACTCCTATAACTCAATAGCAGAAAAACAACCCAATTAAAAAATAAGCAAAGGACCTGAACAGACATTTCTCTAAAGAAGACATAAAAATGGCCAAGAGGAATATGAAAAGATGTTCAACATTACTAGTCATCAGGGAAATGCAAATTAAAACTGCAATGCGATATCAACCTCACACCTGTAAGGATGGTTGTTATAAAAAAGACAAGACATAACAAATGTTGGCAAGGAGGTAGAGAAATGGGAACCCTAGTACACTATTGGTGGGAATGTAGACTGGTACAGCCCTTATGCAAAACAATGTGGAAGTTCCTAAAGATATTAAAAATAGAATTATTATATGGCCCAGCAATCCCTCTTCTGGGTATATACCCAAAGAAGATGAAGTCACTACTTTGTAAAGACATCTGCTCTCCCATATTCATTGCAGCATTATTCACAATAGCTAAGATATGGAAACAACCTAAATGTTCATCAGTGGATAAATGGATAATGAAAACATGGTGTGTGTGTGTGTGTGTGTGTGTGTGTGTGTGTGTGTGTATGAATATTATTCAACCTTAAAAAAAAGGAGATTCTGTCATTAACCACAATATGAATAGACCTGGAGGACATTATGCTAAGTGAAAGAAACCAGACACAGAAAGAAAAATATTGTATAATCTCACCTTTATGTGGAATATATATATTTAAAAAGAACTCAAATACATAGATACAGAGAACAAAACAGTGGTTACCATGGGTGGGATGGGGGTAGGGATGTGGGGCAGGGTGGGAGGGAAAGGAAATGGGGGTGATGTAGGTCAAACGATCAAAATAGCAGCATAAAGCAGTTTAGAGAGCCAATGTACAACATGAGGAATAAACTTAGTAAAATTATACTATATTGGAGATTTTTGTTAAATAAGTAGGTTTTAGCTGTTCCTGTCACAAAAAAGTAACTATGTGAGATGAAAGACATGTTAGTCTGCTTCACTATAGTAACCATTTTACTACTATATATATCCCATAACATTATATTGTAAACCTCAGATATACGTAATCAAATGCATTGAAAAAATAAAATAAAAATGAGATCAAACTGGTTTCTCTAGATAGCTATTGTATTTTTGAAAAAAATAATTCAGAGAATTATAGCAACATATTAGAGTGGTAGAACAGTATAAAAACTGAAAAATTATAGCTCCCTAACTATTCTATTCCAAATCTTCTTTAAAATTGATAATACTCTAGCCACTAAGTACTTTGCGCTTTTCCCTTTATTTATTTAATAAATTTGTTTCAATTTCACCAACTTCTATTTCCTGAACGAAGAACTTCCTGCGTTAAGAAGTTCATTATCTGAATTACAACTTGTTATAATCCACATTCAAGCCAGAAAAACTGTAAATTATCCTGGAGTCTAAGCAAGACTCCTTTAATCTGTTCTGATAGAATTGGGTTTTTGTGTCGATTTCGTATTGCACATTATTGATTTTGTCTCCTCCATATTACTAAGGGAAACATCTTTTAAGATAGTGCAAAAGCCTATGAGGAAATTGGGTGAGTCCGAGAGGTCTAAAAGAGTTGTATCTTAGGAGCAAAGCTTCATGTTATGAAGCACGCCTTCTTCACTCCTTCACACCTCCGAAGAGCAACAGGAACCACAGGCTCTGACTTCGGCTTCTTGCCACCAAACCTCATGTAGGCAACTCTTCAAGCAGTAGCCATTCAAAAATAATTGTCTCTGCTTCCCCCTCTTTCTGCCTAAAATCAGGTCGGAAATTTTCCTTTTGTAAAGGAAATTTACATTTGTAAATGAAATTTCTATAAATCTCTCCTCATCTGGAGATGACTTTTATTACCTCAGAGGACTTCAGTCTGCAAAATAAACCTTACTAAACAAACCTTATTTACCATATATTTTATAATTACCTTCCACAACTTATCCCCACCTCAGAGGCCCAACACCATCCATTTTTCTAGTCTCTTCTCCACACTTCATCACTCTTTGTTAAGATAATACATAAGCTCCTGCATCTAACCACTTCTTTGGGGTTGGTAGTTTCAGGTAATATCCCAGATATAGCAGCAAAATACCAAAACTCAATTCATCTGCAGTGTCTGTATTATCTCATTTGACCATTCACTTACTAAAATTAAGTAAATGAGAATAGTCTGGACATAACTGAGATCAAGATTGACTAAATGAAATAATTTTACCTCCTCAAAAATTATTTAGCATGTACTGTATGCAGCACACTGTAAGCTATGCATAGAGGAAGGAAAAAAGACTTTTCCTCTACCTTCTTAGGTTCAGTGATTGGAGCTTGTGAATTATACTTAGAAAGGACAGGTTAACAGGAGGGAATAGTTTATTTCACATACGCACAGGGGTGATAAGTGGGGACCTCCAGGAAAAGAAGTGAAAATCCCATTGATAATTTGATAAGGCAGGATATTGGCTTTGTTTCAAAATCATGAGGAGATAGAGCGTCTCCCCATCCTCAGAGAGTAATGAAATGTGATTGGTTTTGGAAATTTATGCTAAGAATGGTACTTGGGAGAGACATTGGGTTTATAAGAGGTGACAGCCAAAAGTCAGAAAAAAAGTAAGACTAAAACTTGAGATAAGGTTTTAGAGGAGGTTAGGGTAGGAAGTTGTATGGGGAGCAGAGCTGGTAGGGGACTTGAAGCTTGACAGACCATGGTGGGTTCGGAGATTGCACGTGGAAGCTATGGAGCAGGGTCGGCTCATGGTGACAGACCTGGGGCTCTGTGCCCAGGAAGATGAAAAAGGGAGTGGAATCCGGAAAGCCCCAGAGTTTGGATTTGGGTGGCTGGAAGGAATTTGGTTTTAATCAGAATCAAGGGGTAGGTCTGGAATTCAAGCACAAAGAGTTTTCCTTCCCTATCTCCCCTACCCTCACCCTTTGGGGCCATGAGAAGTAAGAGAACCCTTGAAGTCCTTGGGAAGTCAATTTGAAGGTGAACCAGAAGTAGGAATTGGACAGATCATTAACATTCCAATCGGTGTCCACCTAGGTCAAGCTCAAAAAGCTCAGGCACCTGGAGATTACCCAATTTGTATCCTCTGATATCACCAGTGTTCAGAGTTTATTCTAAGCAGAAACCACATATGCTACGTTTTAGAGGACACAAGACAGGGGTAAATACTCTGCAGTAGTAGAAATGTTTAAGGAGCATGGTTTAAAAGAGAAGCCTCGGCTGGGCGCGGTGGCTCACGCCTGTAATCCCAGCACTTTGGGAGGCTGAGGCGGGCAGATCACGAGGTCAGGAGATTCAGACCATTCTGGCTAACACGGTGAAACCCCGTCTCTACTAAAAATACAAAAAAGTTAGCTGGCGTGGTGGCGGGCGCCTGTAGTCCCAGCTACTCGGGAGGCTGAGGCAGGAGAATGGCGTGAACCCGGGAGGTGGAGCTTGCAGTGAACCGGGCAACAGAGCAAGACTCTGTCTTTTAAAAAAAAAAAAAAAAAAAAAAAAAAAAGGCCGGGCGCGGTGGCTCAAGCCTGTAATCCCAGCACTTTGGGAGGCCGAGGCAGGGTGGATCACGAGGTCAGGAGATCGAGACTATCCTGGCTAACATAGTGAAACCCCGTCTCTACCAAACATACAAAAAACTAGCTGGGCGTGGTGGCGGGCGCCTGTAGTCCCAGCTACTCGGGAGGCTGAGGCGGGAGAATGGCGTGAACCCGGGAGGCGGAGCTTGCAGTGAGCCCAGATCAGGCCACTGCACTCCAGCCTGGGAGACACAGCGAGACTCCATCTCAAAAAAAAAAAAAAAGAGAGAAGCCTCAATTCTCCAATGGTAATGGCATAAAGTTACCTAAAAGTAGACATTCAGATCAGGGCTTCTTCCTCATAGAAGCTTTAAGGACTACACATACTATGGGTTTTGTTGTTCAGATGAACAGACTGTCAATTCCAGGGGAAAAAGGCTAAATTTACCTCGTTGAGCAAGGCAGATTGAATATTGGAACACAGTCTCTTTTAAGATTGAACAGGACTTATATACGTTTATGAGTGAGTGCAGAGGGTTTCGATTAGTTCTAACAGAAAAGAGAAAACTTTTTATTATCTCTTAACAGAAGTAGGGAATATGGTGATTGGCTCTTGGACCAAAGCTACATTGCTTTAACCTACTCAGCTTAAAGTTGTTTCATTTTGACTTGTAATCCCTGATAAGATTTAAAACGGGCAGCTTTCTCAAGGTCCATGATTTTAAAGAATAAAGTTTCTTAATACTATGTCCTTGATGCTCACCAGTAGAAGCAGTTTTACAGTTTTGAGCATATACATTTAGTCAACCCAAGAAGTATAATAATTTAAATTATGGGGTTTAACCATGTTTAGTGATCAAATTAACTGGAAAACAATTTAATCTCTCATTCATTTTGTGTTATGGGGAATCAACTTTTAGCAAATCCTAATACTCTCTTGTGCATTAAGAATGAAGATTGTCGGCTGGGCGTAGTGGCTCACACCTGTAATCCCAGCACTTTGGGAGGCCAAGGTGGGCGGATCATGAGGTCAGGAGTTTGAGAGGAGCCTGACCAACGTGATGAAAACCCGTTTTTTTACTAAAAATACAAAAATTAGCCGGGCGTGGTGGTGCATGCCTGTAATCCCAGCTACTCAGGAGGCTGAGACAGGAGAATCACTTAAACCTGGGAGGTGGAGTTTGCAGTGAGCCCAGATCGTGCCACTGCACTCCAGCCTGGGTGACAAAGTGAGACTCCATCTCAAAAAAAATAAAAAAAAAAAGAAAGAATTAAGAGTCTACCATCCAGGCTAACACGTTGAAACCCCGTCTCCATTAAAAACACAAAAAATTAGCCGGGCGTGGTGGCAGGCGCCTGTAGTCCCAGCTACTCAGGAGGCTGAGGCAGGAGAGTGGCGTGAACTTGGGAGGCACAGCTTGCAGTGAGACGAGATCGCGCCACTGCACTGCAGTCTGGGCGACAGAGTGAGAGAGTGAGACCCTGTCTCAAATAATAATAATAATAATAATAATAATAATAATAAAGAGTCTAAAGTAAGCTGTGTATCCTAGGAGGAAAAACCATGGGCTATGCTGATGGGCTATGCTGTCTTGGTACATTCCATTCCATTCCATTTCATGAACATTTATTAAGCACATGGTAAAAGCATCATACCTACTGTTGTTATATGCCAGTGGCCAGTTGTTTTATGTATGTAATTGCTGATCCAAAACAATCCTGCAAGAAAGTAGGGGTGTTACTATTACTATTTTACACACGAGAAATCTGATGGTTAGGTTACCAGCCCAGGGTCATCCAAGTTGTAAAATGACTGAACCAGAAATTTAACAAAGGTCTCTCTCACTCCAGATTCCATGATTAAACCTCCAGAGCTTCTCATGCCTATCTTATGTTCCTTGCGGATCTATTATAGGTTAGTGTCAGAATTGTCCTAAGTTTATTTTGAGTAGTGCATTTTTGTACCAGGTAAGTAATTTACCAAGAAATTATCACTATCCATTTTAGGCCTCAAGTAGGGTGCATATTATATCTTCAGTATCCTAGTGGTGGATTATGGGACAAACCCATGTCAACCAAATCACCAAGCATTACACAGACACCTGTCCCCTGAGGTGGGAAAAACTGGAATCGTTTGGGATCAACCTGTAGACAGCGTGAAATATTGGCAAAAAGGTCTCTTCCCATTATTATTTACTCTGACTTTTGTGTCCCTTTCTGACTATAGTCTCAAGTCCACCAGAGTTTTTAATCTGCAAAAGAATCACCAACTATAACAACTCTTATTAATGTATCAGTGACTAAGCGCATCACTAGTGTTTTGTCTTCTTTTCAAAAGAAAAAAAATGATGGCGAGCACGGTGGTTCATGCCTGTAATCTTAGCACTTTGGGAGGCCAAGGTGGGAGGATCACTTGAATTAAGGAGTTCAAGACCACCCTGAGCAACATACTGAGTAACCTTGGCTCTACAAAAAGTTAAAAAATTAGCTGGATATGGTGGTGTGCACCTGTAGTCCCAGCTACTTGGGAGGCTGAGGTGGGAGGATCTTTTGAACCTTGGATGTTGAGGGTGCAGTGACATGATTACATGTCACTGTACTCTAGCCTGTCACTCAAAAAAAAGAAAAAAAAAAAGAGAGAGAAATGATAAGATAATGGTTAACACACAGAAAGCAATCCTTAGCAGCATAGATCTTGACAAAGATTCTTTGCTTGATCAAATTTTAGTCAGGCTCCTGAAACTTCTCCTAGGTCCATCTGTGTACTTCCTTATAAAATCCAGTTTTAGCACGAAGTCAGCTAACTTTAGCATGAATCTCCCATCCTCCATGTCTGACCACCTTCCATGCCTAGATGGGTTCTTCATCCTCCACTGTCTTTCACGCGATGTCTGATCACCCCGGCCTGCCTTCAGCAAAATCCTGTTAGGTTAGTTTGGTCAGAATCTCCCCTTAGCCCTGATATTCCTTAGTAATATACTTGGTATTGAACTCAACCCTGGAAAGTGGTTGAGTAAAATCCACTTTCTGCCCTCAGAGAGTTTATATTCCAATGCAGGAGACAGATAAGTCAACACTATCACAATGCCTCAAGAAAGGTGTCACTGTGCTCCCACAAAAGTCCTGTGAGAGCAAAGGGAGGCTGTTGGGAGTGGCCAGGAGTGTTCAGGGAAGAGTAGCGTTTCTCTGCCCGGCCAATCACGTTCTGTAAGGCTGACATTCGAACAGCGAGATGTGAGGGTAAACAGCTCTCCCAGGTTTCAACGATGTTGGGCCGCCTCAGTTCAAGCAGGTCGGTGAATCAGAATTTCTAAGTAATCTTTAAGGTGTTGTATGTCTTTCAGGGCAGGACTGGGGATGAGGAGAGTTCTTCTAAATGTCCAGAGAATTATCAGTACCATAGTGGAGGTACTTAGAAGTTCCTACTAGTCCCAGAATATGGCGGTAAGGGTAGAGACTTGATCTCTTTCAAAGAACTTTCTCATAAATTAGGATTTGGGGTTAAGGTGAACCTAATTCTGGCTTCTAAATGGCCATGTTGAGGACTTGTATGGGATTTGGGGAAAATGAGAATAGCTTTCGTCATCAGTTCTACCCTTTGTGAGGCACCCATTTCTTGTGGCTCAGGCAATCTACAAATTCTGGTAGTGTTTATTTTTAATTACTTTGATAGTGTTTCTCTTGTTTATTTAGTCAATGGCTTTTAATTTCCTTTCCTTTTTTTTTTTTTTTTTTCAGATGGAATCTCGCTCTGTTGCCAGGCTGGAGTACAGTGGTGCAATCTCGGCTCACTGCAAACTCCACCTACCGGGTTCAAGCGAGTCTCCTGCCTCAGCCTCCCAAGTAGCTGGGACTACAGGTGCGTGCCACCACGCCCAGCTAATTTTTGTAGTTTTTTAGTAGAGACAGGGTTTTACCATGTTGACCAGGATGGTCTCAATCTCTTGACCTCATGATGATGGCTTTTAATTTCTTTGAATATAGTTAGAAAGTATTATTAATATATAATTCCCTGCATTGTGCATAGTGAATGCAGAGATCCTAAAGATTCAGAACGCCGTCGGTAAGATATTATTTTTGGGACCAGAATTTTAATCTGTCCCAAACATCTTCTTGCTATTCAAGAGTCATTCCTTTGAATCAAGTCGCCCACCCACCTAGTTATTTGTCTACTACTTGTGTTATTTGGCCAAAATAATACTAGTCCATTCAGACCCACAGCTAAATAATAGCAGATTATTATTTTTAAAGAAATCAAAGAATTGGAGAGAGAACTCAGAGGGAGCATGTGGTGAAGGGAAAACTGAAAGAAAGAAGTCTATCAAGGGCTTTTAAAAGCACTGGCCAACGCTTCATAAGGAGCACCATGAAAAAATAACCAAGATAAGGGGACAAACTTGGCCCATTTTGTGGGCAAATGGTGAGCCTTTTAAGGCTCCTATGGCAGATGATTTTATTTGGCTACTTAGGAAGATGCTCAAGTTACAGAAAATAGCTTTTAATTAAATGATGGTATAGTCAGAAAGTCAGTTGTTTTTGGTCTAATATTCAGTTTTAACACTTTTTTAATATTAAAAAATGAAACATAAAAAATAATGCACTTAGAATATTTATCTTTCCTAACTGTACAGATAAACTTCTTTCAGAGCAGAAATGAAAATATATTAAATTTCAAGTGCAAAAAAATTATTCACTCTCACTTTCTATCTTTGGTCAAACCAAAAAACTCTACTGCTCACATAATTTAGAGCAACAGTTCCCACACCTGGCTGATGATGAGAATACCATGGAGAATTTAAAGTACACATTCCCAGGCACCTATCCTGGATCTACTGTGTCAATCTCCAGGAGTGGGGCCCCAGAATCTGCACTTTAAAAAGAGCTGTTGAGGTGATGTAGATATGCTGGCAGATTTGAAAACCACTGCCATAAAACAAACAGGGATTTAAAGCCCTCAATTTTATCTTAGCCTCTCACTGAATATGCTCTTGTAATGGTTTAAGGTAATAATGACCTTGTTGTAGGCTATTTCCTATTGATTAATGACCAGCTGGAAGAAGTTGTCTCTAGGCTCTTTCAATTCAGCCTGCCAATAATTACTCAACTAAATATGCGCCTGCAGTTCAAATGCGTAAAGTTTTCCTCTGCGAGGAACACTGCACTGTTAGGTTGTCTTAATTGCATTCCTTTTCTAATTCATCTCTCAAATGCCACAGTTGCTCCATAACAGAAAAAAACAAACAGGAGGATCAAAGTGTGTCTGTCTCTGTTGGAACAAACAGAAGCAGAGAGGCAGGGGAGAAGATTTAGCTGTTAGGTGGATTTTGCTGAAATGTTCTATTTGTTGAGCGGTGATTTGTACCAGGTAATGTGAACTAAGTTGCCCTCAGTCTCTTTACAGATTACACCCCATTTCCTTTACTGTGCTGCTAAGTAATTCTTAGGGAATTATTCCCCCTCCAACTTCTCTCTGCTAACAAAATGATCTACCACATATGCTTCCACTTTATGTGCTGCAGGACAGCCATGGGCTTCATAAAGCTGCCTGCATTTCAAACTGTTCAGGCTGGAACTGTAATCTTTCCACCCACCCCTTTCCCGTCAGGTAAAGAAAATGTTCATACCTCAGGTTTTGTTACCAGGCAACAGAGTTCCATTTGCCAATTGCCACCATTTCCTTCTCATAGTATTACAGGCCTTATTATTAACATTTAGTTCAGAGAAATTGCTGTCATTATGTGAAGTAACTTCCTTTGGAGGTTATTCATTAACCTTAGGTATTTTACTGTGTAATTAGAATTGCCAAGTGCCGCGGGCTTGGAAAACGTTTGAACTCCTGAAGGTATTAGGGGACGGCAGAAAGGATATTATCTGATTTTTCTTCCATTTCCAGTTAAGGATTAATCTTGAAGTTCTCCTATTTCCCCTGCAGAGTTCTGCCTTCCCAAAAGGGTAAACTCTTCCCTTGCCTTAGTCCAGACTGTCCACAGTAAACTCAGAAGCAAGCCATGGAGGAACTTGCCTGTTAGCGTATGATTTTTCACAAATTCCGTAGGGCAGAGTGCAAATTGTTCCCCCTTTGTCTTAGGAAAAAATCATGGGGATACTGAGAAGACTCAGTGGTTGGTAAATGGTTGGCAGGCGCACTTGTGCATACGTGGGCCTCTGTGAAGAACTTGCACAATGCCTGGAATTGTATATTGTGCACAACCTTGTTCTGACACAACGGAAGACCTTCATCCTATTGCTCACTCGATGGCTCTCTGAAAGTAGCTTTGCACTCCCTAGCATTGCAGGAGCCAGGTGTGCATTTTATAATACGCCTATTATACAGCCATTCTCCGTAGCCATTGCTTATACAATGACCCTTCTGATTTGTCCCACTACGGTGTGGGTGTCAACGACTTAGGTCCTCACCCAGTACAACTTTAGGTATGCATTTCACATATATTTGCAGGCAAAAAATGCACCTCCCTCCTCTTCTCTCTTTGTTTCAAGACAAACAAAAGTAACTGGCATTTCACCCCGCCCTCCCCCCTCCAGCCCCCAACTACATGTGCCTGCAGCACGGGCGCCCTAGAAAGGGAAACCTGTTTTCCTCCTCCCAGGTTTCTGGTTTCTCCACCTAGTCTCCCCACAGTCCTTCACTGCCCGCACCCAGAGTCCTTCCGGCCTCTACCCAGACTCTGAGAAGTGGCCCGACATTCCAGGTAACCTGATTCCCCAGACGGGATAGGCGGCGGCCTGCTGCTGCGAAGGCGCGACCACGTGACCTTTCCTGCCTGCACCGGGGAAATGCATACCTTGTTCAGAAAACTAGGGGACAGGTGAGCCAAGGTAGTGTTTTGAATCCGAATTAAAAACATGTATTTATTTAAAAGGTGCTTGCTTCTGCATCAGACAGCTACCACTTTGATCATTCCAAATGAAAAGTCACGGTTGGCCATGGGGTTTTATGGCGTGAACCGAGCTGCAAGACAAAGGCAGGACGATCTCCAGGAGGAAAAGGCGGAGCGGGTTTTATGGGAGCTGCCGCACAAGTCTGAACGCAGAGGCTGCACACGGGGAGGGCAAAGCCGCCCTGGCAGGAGCCCGAGCTGCAGGCCTCAGCTGGGAATCCTGTCCCTCCGTCCATTTCCCTGGCTCTCGCGGTCCCTCGTTTGTTCCTGACAGATTTCTTCTTTGATCTATGAAATGGGGAAAGTGAGGGACACGTTGATATACTTTAAGGGTGCAAGAATTTGCTGCTTTCTGCCCAAATAAAGGGCTTGTGGGGAGTTTCTTTGAGAACTGGAACATGCTGTCACATGTAATCTAAGGAGCTCAGTCTCCCCTTCCAGTGCCCATTAATCAATCAACCAACACTTTTAAAGCCTCTAGTATGGATTCTGTGAACTGTGGGGAAGGAAGGGCATGGTGTCTGCTTTTAAGGTATTTATGGATTATCTGGGGAGATGGATATATGAGTGTAAATCATGGCAGTAGTTAGCATGTATTGGGGATGTATTGAGTTCTTCCCGTGTGCCAGGCGCTATTCCTCCTAACACCTCCATCGGGTAGGTACTATCTTATCATCTCCATTTCACAGACGTTTTAGAGAGGTCACTCTCCGCAGGTCACACAGTGTGCCGCAGTCAGGCTGTGATGCAGATCCGTCAGACTCCAGAGGAGCTAGCTCCCTGTGCATGCCCCAATCGGGTACCATTGAGTGAAGGTGGGCGGCCCGCTGCATTCCGCCTCTGTTCTCCTTCCCCTCTCTCTGAGAAGCAGGGACACTACCGAGAGTCACATGTGAGAACTTTCATCAGCCACCATTGCCCCCAAGGACCCTACAGAAGTTCTGTTTCTTCCCCTTCCTCTGTTCTGTCCTCAACAATGCGTCCCATTTCATTTCTCCTTAGACAATATTTATCTTGTGGCATACACTTTGTCCTCTCCTTTGTGGTTTTATAATCCAAGTGGAGAGAAGAGACCTAATTTGAAGCAGATAAATATCAAAGCAGAACTTCACCTTTAGAAGTGGGTCTTGATCTTCTCTGAAATCCTTTCATTAATGATTCACTGAAGAACGTGTCTTCAACGATACATGCATCCTCTGATTTACATGGAGTAGTGACCTTCCTTGCATGCAGTCAGATAGAATCAAGGTTTTCCCAGTACCCTTTGGCAGGCCTGACGGCACAGGCGTCTTCAGTTCACCTTGCCACATGTGGTTGTTGAACTCCCTCATGATGGCTAAAGAACCAAACTTGCCTGGTTTTTCCAGGCAAGCCAGCATTTTGATATTTTTAAATAGTATGAACACCTGCCAATAGGATTTTATGAGTATCATGGGGAGACGCATCCTCTGACCTGGCATATAATCTCACTTCTCTGGATGCTGGGCTAATTACATCAGTTCCGCTGGGCATGGGTCTAAATTGGACATGTTCTGGTGTTTGGAAAATTCCAGATTGATAGGACTTAACCCCAGGATGCTTTATGTTGTATCCCTAGTTACCCTAGTTGGCAGAAATTGAAAAGGCCTGGAAATTCCTGTTTACTGTAAGTCCCTCTTCTCTTAACTGGAAAGATGGGCATTGGACGACTTGCTACTTAGTTTTACTTTGAGCACCTCTCTTGGCATCACTTATTACTAAAAATAATGGAAAAGACAGAGTAGGTATTGGGAAGCCTGTTTTCTAGTTCTAGGCCTGCTACTAACCAGCCTCTGACCAATTATACACACTTTCACCTATGTGAGCCTCAGTTTCCTCACCTATAAGGAAATAAAATAAGATTTGGACCAGACCCATGGTTTTAAAAGCAGAACAGCCTGCTGTTTAAAAATATTTTACATCTGGAGTTTTGTGTAAGGTTTTAGTTTACAGTTCACTGATAAAAACTGTCATAAAGCCCCTGCTCTAGAGGCTTGCTGAGGTCCTGTTCCTCTTCAGCTCGAAAGATCTGCAATTCTATTAACACAGTTGGTGATAGCCATGCGCCTTGGGAATCACAGTTGTTTCATTTGGCTAGGTTATTAATTGCAGGAGGAAAAGGAGTGGAAGACAAGATTGGAAATGAATTTTAAGTCCAGATTTGGGATTGCTATGATGCTGAGACCAGGAATCTGAACATTGTTTCATTGGAATTTGGGAACTACCAATGATTTTGAGAGCAAAATTTTGTCAGTGATGTTTTACACGCAGCTGTGAGTACAGGGACCTTAGAAATAGTGACCGAAGTACAGATGAGTTCTTTCTCATGTAAAAGACTCTGGAGTTGGGCAGTTCAGAGCAGGTGTGTCAGCTCCATGCAATCATGCAGGGATCCAGGCTTCTCCTATTTTTCTGCTTTTCTGTTCTAGTGGAACAGGCTTTCATCTTCAGTTACCTCATGGTCTGAAATGACTGCTGAACCAACCCACCTCACTTGCATTGCAGGATAGAAGAAGACAGAAGAAGACCGGGCGTGGTGGCGCATGCCTGTAGTCCCAGCTACTTGGGAGGCTGAGGCAGGAGAATCACTTGAACCTGGAAGGCGGAGGTTGCAGTGAGCTGAGATTGCACCATTGCACTCCAGCCTGGGCAACAAGAGTGAAACTTCATCTCAAAATAAAAAATTTATCATTGTTAGTATTTTTACATTTCACTGGCCAGAACGTGAGTCACAATATAGACGTTATTATTTTATTTAGTTAGTTTTTGGGACAGAGTCTCGCTCTGTCGCCCAGGCTGGAGTGCAATGGCACAATCTTGGCTCACTGCAACCTCCGCCTCCCGGGTTCAAGTGATTCTCCTGCCACAGCCTCCCGAGCAGCTGGGATTACAGTCAAGTGCCACCATGTCCAGTTAATTTTTGTATTTTTAGTAGAGATGAGGTTTCACCATGTTGGCCTGGCTGGTCTAGAACTCCTGACCTCAGGTGATCCACCCGCCTCGGCCTTCCAAAGCGCCGGGATTACAGACGTAAGCCACTGCGCCCAGCCAATATAGACTTTATTATGAGCAGCAGTGTGACTCAGTTGAAAGTAGGAGTTCTGTTCTGGGGTCTCCCATACAGGTGTGAAATGATTGGAACTCAGCACTAGAATCATTTATTCAGTGGCAGTAGATGGGAAACTATGGTCTACCTGGAGGGAATGAGGGCCTGAACTGGAGTGACCATGGGAATGTGGGTAGGTTACAGAAGGGAGAGCCAATGCAGAGGAAGGCCGACAGGATTCTCTAGGTGTGATGGGGTTTTGTCAGCTGGCGTGAGGAAGTGGGAGGATACAAAAATCACACCTAGCTTGGGAACCATGTGAAGGGGATGCTGGTAATGCCATTGACTAAAGTAAGGATGTTGGAGTTTTAGGAAAGAAGGTAATGAATTAGGTTTTGGACGTGTTGAGTTTGTTTAACAAACTGCAGTTTATTTGCACCGGGACTGGAGCTTGGGGAACTTTGTATTGTACATTTCTGAGTAAATATTAAGTTGACCTATTTTTTTTATCTTAATGTCTCAGATGCTTTCTTGGGCTTCGTAAGTTGTTCCTTAGGGGACTCTGTTAATCATAATGGAGTAAGGCAATAGGTTTACCTTTTCTCTTCTCTGCTGCACCCAAACTCCAGAGAAATTCTTTCCCACCATTGGGCTTAAGGATCCTGAGAGTCACGACAAAGATGATGTTACAGGAAAATGCCTATTTCTTAAAAGGACTTCTGCCCAGAATACCTATGTGTTTTTCCACCTCAATGAGCTCAAATGTGAACAAAGCAGAAAGCTCTTCAATTGTAGTCCAGAGGCATTTTTTAGTAGCAGATTCCCTTATGTACTTTTTTCTCTGAGCCTCAACCTGGCTCCATGTGATCTTTCCTGTCTCAGACCCATTGTTTGAGTGCAACAGACTAAGTGAGGGCTGCCCCATGTATTAAAGAGGGATGTAAGTAGAGAGTCATATTCAGCATCCCTGGGTTCAGGAGAAAAGCTTATAATGGAAATATGGAAGTGAGGGCCAAATTGGATGGGGCTTGGGGACACGTAGCAAGGTTAATAGTAATGGTGGTCAAGAGACTAAGAATTAAGGCAAGGGCGGCAAGGCGCCCGCCCGCGGGTGGCTCAAGCCGCTGGCATGTAATCCC